AGGCTTATTGGGCCCAAACGTGAACATGCACGAATGGCACTCCGAATCCAGAGTCTTACATGGCCAATCATGATATCCACGAAGGGTGCTCTGAATTTGAGGGCTTATTTAGCCCAAACGTGAACATACAGCGAGGGCGCTCCAAATCTGGAGTCTTATATGGCCAATTGTGATATCCATGAAGGGCGCTCCAAATCCAGAGTCTTACATGGCCAATTGTGATATCCACGAATGGTGCTCCAAATTTGGAGGTATATTCGGCCCAAACGTGAATATGCATGAAGGGCGCTCCGAATTTGGAGTCTTATATGGCCAATCGTGATATCTACGAAGGGCGCTCTGAATTCGGAGGCTTATTCAACCCAAACGTGAACATGCATGAAGGGCACTCCAAATTCGGAGTCTTACATAGCCAATCGTGATATCCAAGAAGGGCATTTTGAATTTGTAGGCTTGTTCGGCCCAAACGTGAACATGCACGAAGGGCGCTCTGAATCCAGAGTCTTACATGGCCAATCGTGATATCCACGAAGGGTGCTCCAAATACGGGGGCTTATTTAGCCCAAACGTGAACATGCACGAAGAGCACTCCGAATCTGGAGTCTTATATGGCCAATCGTGATATCCATAAAGGGCGCTCCGAATCCAGAGCCTTACATGGCCAATCGTGATATCCATGAAGGGCGTTCTGAATTTGGAGGCTTATTCGGTCCAAACTTGAACATGCACGAAAGGCGTTTTGAATTCGGAGTCTTATATGGCCAATCATGATATCCACGAAGGGTGCTCCGAATCTTGGGTCTTATATGGCCAATCGTGATATGTACGAAGGGCGCTCCAAATTTGGAACCTAATTCAGCCCAAACGTGAACATGGACGAAAGGCTCTTTAAATCTGTAGTCTTATATAGCCAATCGTGATATCCTTGAAGGGCGCTCTAAAGTCGGAGGCTTATTCAACCCAAACGTGAACATGCATGAAGGGCGCTCTGAATCTAGAGTCTTAGATGGCCAATCGTGATATCTGCGAAGGGCGCTCCAAATTCGGAGGCTTAGTCGGCCCAAATGTGAACGTGCAAGAATGGTGCTCTGAATCTGGAGTCTTACGTGGCCAATCGTGATATCCACGAAGGGCGCTCCGAATTCGAAGGCATGTTTGGCCCAAACTTGAACATGCGTGAAGGGTGCTCCGAATCCGGAGTCTTATATGGCCAATCGTGATATCCACGAAGGGGGCGTCGAATTTGGAGTCTTACATGGCCAATTGTGACGGCCATGAAGGGCACTCTGCATTCGAAGGCCTATTCACCCAAATCATGAACCTACATGAGGGGCGCTCCAAATTCGGAGTCTTATCAGGCCAATCGTGATATCCATGAGGGGCGCTCTGAATTCGGAGGCTTATTTGGCCCAAACATGAACATACACAAAGGGCACTTTGAATCCGGAGTCTTACATGGCCAATCGTGATATCCACAAAAGGCACTCCGAATTTAGAGGCTTATTCGGCCCAAACATGAACATGTACGAAGGGCCCTCCGAATCTGGAGTCGTATATGGCCAATCGTGATATGCACGAAGGGCACTCCGAATCCGAAGTCTTACATAGCTAATCGTGATATCCACAAAGTGCGCTTCGAATTCGGAGGCTTCTTTGGCCCAAACGTGAACATGCACGATGGGCACTCCGAATATGGAGTCTTATATGGCCAATCGTGATATCCACGAAGGGTGCTCTAAATCTGGAGTCTTACATGGCCAATCGTGATATCAACAAAGGGCGCTCCAAATTCTGAGGCTTATTCTGCTCAATGTAAACACGCACGAACGGCGCTCCGAATCTGGAGTCTTATATGGCCAATCATGATATCCACAAAGGGCGCTTCGAATTCGGAGTCTTACCTAGCCAATCGTGATATCCACGAAGGGCGCTCCAAATTCAGAGTCTTATATGACCCAAACCTAAACATGCACGAAGCGCACTCCGAAATCGGAGTCTTATATGGCCAATCGTGATATCCACGAAGGGTGCTTCAAATTCAGAAGCGTATTCACCACAAAAGAGAACATGCATGAAGGGCGCTCCAAATCCGGAGTCTTACATGGCCAATCGTGATATCCACGAAGGGTGCTCCGAATTTGGAGGCTTATTGGGCCCAAACGTGAACATGTATGAAAAACGCTCCGAATCCAGAGTCTTACATAGCCAATTGTGATATCCACGAAGGATACTCCGAATTTGGGGGCTTATTTAGCCCAAATGTGAACATACATGAAGGGCGCTCCGAATCTGGAGTCTTATATGGCCAATCGGGATATCCGTGAAGGGCGCTTTAAATCCGGAGTCTTACATGGCCAATCGTGATATCCACGAAGGGTGCTCCGAATTTGGAGCTTATTCGGACCAAACGTGAAATCTACGAAGGGTGTCCCGAATTCGAAGGCTTATTCTGCCCAAACGTGAACATCTACAAAGGCGCTCCAAATCCGAAGTCTTACATAGCCAATCGTGATATCCATGAAGGGTGCTCTGAATTTGGGGGTTTATTTAGCCCAAACGTGAACATGCACGAAGGGTGCTCTGAATCTAGAGTCTTATATGGCCAATCATGATATCCATGAAAGGCGCTCTGAATTCGAAGTCTTACATAGCAAATCATGATATCCACGAAGGGCGCTCCATATTTGGAGGCTTATTCGGCCCAAACGTGAATATACACGAAGGGCGCTCTGAATTCGGAGTCTTATATGGCCAATCGTGATATGTACGAAAGGTGCTCCGAATTTGGTGGCTTATTCAGCCCAAGCGTGAACATGCACAAAGGGCTCTCCAAATCCGTAATCTTACATGGCCAATCGTGATATCCATGAAGGGCACTCTGTATTTGGAGGCTTATTCAGCCCAAACGTGAACATGCATGAAGGGCGCTCCGAATTCGGAGTCTTACACGGCCAATTGTGATACCTGCGAAGAGTGCTCCAAATTTGGAGGCTTAGTCGGCCCAAACGTGAACATGCACGAAGGGCACTCCAAATCTAGAGTCTTACGTGGCCAATCATGATATCCACAAAGGGCGCTCTGAATTCAGAGGCTTATTTGGCCCAAACTTGAACATGCACGAAGGGCGCTCTAAATTCAGAGGCTTATTCGCCCAAAATGTGAACATGCACGAAGGGTGCTCCGAATCCGGTGTCTTACATGGCCAATCGTGATGGCCACGAAGGGCGCTCTGAATTCGGAGGCTTATTCGCCCAAAATGTGAACATGCACGAAGGGTGCTCTGAATCCGGAGTCTTATAAGGCCAATCGTGATATCCATGAAAGGCGCTCCGAATTCGGGGGCTTATTCGGCCTAAACATGAACATGCACCAAAGGCGCTTCGAATCCGAAGTCTTACATGGCCAATCGTGATATCCACGAAAGGCGTTCCAAATTTGAAGGCTTATTCAGCCCAAACGTGAACATGCACGAAGAGCACTCCAAATCCCCAGTCTTACATAGCCAATCGTGATATCCACGAAGGGCTTTCAAGATTTGGACGCTTATTTGGACCAAACATGAACATGCATGAATGGCGCTCTGAATCCGTAGTCTTAGATGGCCAATCATGATATCTACGAAGGGCGCTCCAAATCCGGAGTCTTGCATGGCCAATCGTGATATCCACGAAGTGCGCTTTGAATTTGGAGGCTTATTCGGCCCAAACGTGAACATGCACGAAAGGAACTCTAAATCCGAAGTCTTTTATGGCCAATCGTGATATCTACGAAGGGCACTCCGAATTCGGAGACTTATTTGGCCCAAACGTGGACATGTACGAGGGCGCTTTGATTTCGGAGTCTTATATGGCCAATCGTGATATCCACAAAATGCGCTCCAAATTCAGAGGCTTATTTGGCCTAAACGTGAACATGCTCGAAGGGTACTCCAAATCCGGAGTCTTACATGGCCAATCGTGATATCCATGAAGTGCGCTCTGAATTCAGAGGCTTATTCGACCCAAACGTGAACATGCACGAAGGGCGCTCCAAATCTGGGGTCTTATATTGGCAATCGTGATATCCAAGAAGGGCGCTCTGAATTCGGAGTCTTATTCAGCTCAAATGTGAACATGGACGGAGGGCGCTTCGAATTTGAAGTCTTACATGGCTAATCATGTTATCCACGAAAGGCGCTCCGAATTTGGAGGCTTATTCGGCCCAAATGTGAACATGCACGATGGGCGCTTCAAATCCGGAGTCTTATATCATTTAACCATTTTTGACGAGACGGCGATGATAAAGGAATTGCATTGCGGAATACATAGATGCGTACATGTTAGCATAGTAGCAAAAATAAAAACAAGCTAGTATATTGTACAAATTGGCTTAATGATAAAATTTACACAAGTGGGTCGAATTCCAAGGGCGTGGTAAACTTTCGCCAGCCTTATCTGAAAGCCGATACACCCCTGTTCCGAAAATCGAATCAATCTGGTATGGGTTGTCCCAGTTGGGACTCAATTTACTGTATGTCTGATTCTTAATAGAAGGATGCACTTTCTTGAGGACCAGTTCTCCAGGTGTGTAATGATGTAACTGCACGCACTGGTTATACTACTTGGCGAGCTGCTACTGATATCGTGCCATGTACGTAAGAGCACAATCTCAATGCTCTTTAATCAGAGTCAGATCTAAGGCCAACATCATGTCATTACGCCCATGTCAAAAGCCTTGGATTTCAGTGTGGGAAGGCCGATTTCAAGAGGGAGAGAGTGTTTGTAAGGTGGTGAGGAGTTTCTTTTATAGGGGGTAAATTGCTCAAAGAATTAAGCCAGACTAATTTAATCTTGATCCCTAAGGTGGCCCATCCCACAAAGCTATCATAGTTTTGCCCTATTAGTTTATGCAATGTTAACCTTGAGGTCATAACTAAGATCCTTGCAAATCGTCTAAAAAAGATTCTGAAGGACCTGATCTCTCCTAATCAATCTATGTTTGTTCCTGGAAGCTTGGTTTAGGATAACATTCTTGTGGCCTATGAGGCTTTTCACTCTTTGAGATTAAAGAAACGAGGTACTATAGGTCATATGGCGATCAAACTTGACTTCGACAAGGCGTATGACCAAATAAAGTGGGATTTCTTGTCTGAAGTACTTCAAAAGATTGGCTTTCATCCTATATGGACTCAATGGGTAATGGAATATGTGTCTACTATCACCTTTTCCATTTTTGCTAATGGTGAGAAAAGGGTTTCCTTCAATCCAGGCCGTGGGTTGCAGCAAGGGGACCCCCTATCCCCTTATTTGTTCATTTTTAGTTGTTGATGTCCTATCTAATCTCTTATCTCGAAGCCTTAGCAACAATCAAATTTTGGGTTTAAAGATCACAAGGCTCTGCTCATCATGATATCCACAAAGTTTGCTAATGATATGATTTTGTTTCTCAAGGAGGATTCTGGTGAATGCCAAAATGTTTTGGACATCCTTCAAATTTTCTATGAAGCCTTGGGGCAGAAGATAAATTTCGACAAGTCCAGTGTGCAATTCTCATTAAATACCCCACCCACAATGTGTAGCTCTATATGGAACTTGTCAGGTTTTCAACTCTCTCAATCGGATGTGAAATACTTGGGGTTACCATCTTTCTTGGGTCGATCAAAAGCAAAAGCCTATGAGTTCCTGATTGAAAGGATCCTCTCAAAGTTGCAAGGTTGGAAGTAGAAATTATTATCTCAAGTGGGAAAGGAAACTCTTATTAAAGCAGTGGTCCAAGCTATTCCCGCCTATGCGATGGCTTGCTTAGCGTTTCCCAAAAAATTTTGCACAAAACTAAACTCCTATATTAGTAACTTCTGGTGGGGTGGTGATCCGGAAGGAAAATGGGTTCACTGGACCAATTGGGGGCTTTTGGGCATGTCAAAATTTAAAGGAGGGTTGGGTTTTAGTGACTTCAACAAGTTCAACATGTCATTGTTAGCTCGTCAAGGATGGCATTTGATGAAACACCCAAACTCCTTTTGTGCGTGCATTTCGAAAGCAATACTTTCCGCACTCAAATTTTATGGAAGCTTCAAAAGGCCGGCGGGCATCTTGGGCTAGTATCCTACAAGGCAGGGATATTTTACAAAAGGGTATCCATTGGCAAGTGAACAGTGGGACTGAAGCAAAATTCAGGGAGGATAAATGGATCCCATCTATTCTGGGGTTTAAAGTGGCTTTTCCAAAGCCTAGGGGAAATAGTTTTTAGAAAGTGTGTGATGCTATTGAATCCACTACTAAGAGTTGAAAGGTGGATGATCATAATCTATGTGTGTCCGAAGTAGAAGTGGAGGCCATTCGCTCAGTTCCCATTGCCTTGGAACAGCTCCAGATTCTCTTGTATGGCATTTTGATTTGAAGGGGACATATTCGGTTAGGTCGGGGTACCACATTGCAATGAAAGATGTAAGCAATTCTTTGTCCTACAATCCTTCTACCTCCTTTCAACCCCCAAAAAATGTGTGGAAGATGATTTGGGCTTTAAAGTTACCTCCAAAACTTAAACACTTTTGGTGGAGAGTGTGTAAAAGTGTGCTTGTTACAAAAGACAATCTATGCCAGAGAAGGTGTGTTATGTTAAATATGTGCCCTATATGCCAGAGATATCCTAAAACTGTCGAACATCTTCTTTTTTAATGTGCATGGGTATGTGCAGTTTGGTTTAGCACTGATTTAAAGCTTGATGGAAATGGAGGACCTATGTTCTCGATTTTCAAATAAATGTGTGATATGTTGGGCTACTTCAAAACGAGTAAAGAATGGGAATCCTTTTTCAGTCTTATAGTTTGGATCGGTTGGTTTATTTGGAAAGACCGAAACAATTGTCTTCAATCATATTAACATTGACCCCTCTTCGACTTTACATCAAGCTTGAGTTGCCAAATTCAAGTATGAGTCTGCAACTAAATCCAAAGATATGGTGCATCCTCAGATTGTGAGTGAGAAGTTTCAAGGGAGGACTACTTGGCAAACTCCTTAGCCTGGAACTCATAAAATTAATTGTGATGTAGCAATAAAGAAGGGCTCTAAGGTGGCATCTATAGCTGTCTTGTTAAGGAATTCAGTGGGGAGTTTGATTGATGGCTTTACTAGCAACTGCATTGTCTGATCTTCTCTTCAAGGAGAAGCATTAGCTTGTAAGTTTACGTGTCTACTAGCACGTGCTTGCAACCTCAATGTAGGGGAAATCGAAGGGGATAACAAGACAGTGATCCGGTTGTGTGTTTCTAAAGCTATGCCTCCATGGGAATGTGGAGCTATCTTCACTGACATAAAGTGTTTGGCGGAGCATGGGAACTTTTCCTTTTGCTGGGCTCCTAGAACAGCTAATCATGCAGCTCATTGGGTTGCCCAAGCCTCTCTCCGAGGCCATCTGCCATTGGGTCTCTAACCCTCCTCCAGTTCTTGCTAATTTGCTACAAGTGCTTTAGTTTGTTTGGCCGATGTAATAGCTCTGTTTATTGGGGCTTTGTTTAGAATTTCCTTGTTAAAAAAAAAAATTCACTCAAAATTAGGATTTGAGTTTTCTCCTCAATCTTAAATTGAAATTAGGGCCATTATATGCTGTTTCAAAGGTCTCAAAACAAGGATTTCAAATATATAATTTTCACAACATAAAAAACAAAGCACGTAAAACCAGCATGTAGTCAAAGTTACAAAAATTAAATATAAATCTCTATGCACAAGTCATATCTATACATATATTCATACACAAATAATACAAAAATACTCAACAATGACTCTGATACCAATGTAAGAAAAATAAGAAATAATACACAATGGAAATAAATGGATTTGGGCATATCTTTTACACTAAAATTGAATCCATGGATCATGTGGGTGAATCACATGTCTCCATTGATGTCTTCGAATAATTCCTAGCAATAAGGTAGAACTACTAAAGAACTACCCACACCCTTCGCAATACAAAGGCATGGTTCTATGTTTCCATGGAGAGAGAAAGGAACGGAGAGTCTAGAAGAGAGAGCAAAGAGACACCGATTACCCATTCGATTAAAATCTTACTCTCCCAAATACAATACATATATTATGTTGGAGAGTTATAACCACTCACAACTCTATCTCCTTAAGAGATGAGATAGTGGGTTATATACACTTATCTCCAAGACAAGTTAATTCAAAATGAATCTCTCCTAATAGTCTTTCAATGAGTCATGGGTCATGCCACTATAGACAACCCAATCGGATATGGGTCCTAAACCGGACCCAATTTTCAATAGTTAACCTATTTGGAGATGCAAGACTTCACAGAAGGAAATCATTCTGCTATGACTACACATGAAAAGTAATTGGGAAAGAAAAAAATGAAAACTATGACACTGTTTGAACATGGTAAATACTTGTAGAACTGTCAATCGAAAACAATAGCAATGGTTCAGTATAAGATGAAATTCATATGCCGGATAGTTGACGTTATTGAGCAATGGCAACATCATAATAAGTAGCCAATGCGCTAAACTTTTTGTTTGGCGTACGATAAAAATTGATTGACAAAGTAGTATATTAATTATCAGCCATATATTTGTACCCAAAAAAATTATCAACCATATATCAATGCATGAATTGTTGATTAAATGAATATCTTTTTGACTAGGCAGAATATGCTTCCTCTCTATGTTTCTGCATTTTCGAACAAAAAAGAGTCTTCTTATCGTTGTCTGGAAAAAAAGATCGTACACTCACATGCATCACAGCCCATAATCTGTCGTGTTTTAGCGTATTCATTTAGAATCACATATCTCTAACAGCCAATAGGAATGCTCCAAAAAAAAATATCCATGCTATCAAATTCTATATAAATGGGTACAGTATGTCCCCATATTGAACACAACCAACTCTTAGAAAAAATATCCCTTACTCTTGGAGATGGAGATGTATCTTCCAATCCTCTTCGTCGTTTCGCTTCTCTTCTCCTACTCTCATGGTTCAATGCTAGACTTCTGTGTGGCAGACTTCTCATTGCCCGATGGACCTGTAGGCTACTCTTGTAAGAAACCTGCTAAAGTGACGGTTAATGATTTTGTTTATTCAGCTTTAGGCATTGCTGGTGACGCTAACAATCTTATCAAAGCTAAGGTTACACCGGCATTTGCAGCTCAATTTCCGGGTGTGAATGGGCTTGGCCTTTCCATAGCACGTCTAGATCTAGCCGTGGATGGAGTTATGCCAATCCACACGCACCCTGGAGGTTCAGAAATCCTTTTTGTGATGGAAGGAACAATTTGTGCCGGATTCATATCTTCTTCGGCCAACATTGTTTATTTTAAAACTCTTTACAAAGGGGATGTTATGGTTTTCCCACAAGGGTTATTGCATTTTCAATTCAATTCTGGAAATATACCGGCTCTTGCGATTGTTAGCTTCAGTAGCCCAAGCCCGGGTCTCCAAATCACCGATTTTGCATTATTTGCCAACAATTTGCCTTCTGCATTGGTGGAGAAGGTAACTTTCCTTGATGATGCTCAGGTCAAGAAGCTCAAGGCTGTTCTTGGTGGCACTGGTTAAAAAAGGCCTTTGAAGACTTTTTATTTTTATTTTTATTTTTTATTATGATGGTTTCTTTTTGTAGTACTACTTAAAGAGTCCCCCAGTCGAGTGTCTTTTGTATGGGTCTTTAAGGCAAATCCATGTTTTTTTTTAATAATATTTATCTGAATAATTGGAGAAATTACATTAGTAGTTCTTGCATCTTACCTTCCATATTATTTTGGTCCCTACACTTTTATTTGACTTGATTTTGATCCTTAATTCTTTATTTTGTATAAATTTGATCCAATTAATAATACTGGTTACAGTTTTTGACGAAAAATTGTTACTGAGTTGATTGAGATTAACTCACTAAGTCAAACAAATTTATAATTTTACCTCTAAAAGTTGTTGAAAATTTAATATAAGGAAAATTATGTCGCGCCGATTGAATGATTCAGGCCCATCTCGAAGTGAACTTGCTAACATTCGTGCCGCCATTATTCTTTGGGCCAATGAACCGTAATGGCCCATCGGTGCTGCCAATGTTTTCGTGGATCGAAACTGTGATTCGGAATTGCTGCGTGTTAGTCTTGCCTTCGTCACTTTGCGCGCCACGTGCCAAATATCCACGTGGCTGTTGTTGAATACCTTGGACAAAACAGTTATTAATGGCGGCCGATAAGTAATTTCCTCTGGGAACGATGATGTTTGGAAAGCCAATGTGGCTTTCATTTTGCAATATTTCACATCATCGTTGATGTTTGTTTGCAGTAATTTGTAGGACCCTGTCCATGGACATCCTTTTTTATTTGCGGCAGTATAGGCGTTCCCAAAATATGTTATGTCTACTGGGCATGTAACTGGAAACGTGAAACGGGTCTGTAATTGATCATCCGCTCGTAGTCGTGTGTCTCGTATTTCGACTTCGACGCGGCCGGTGGAATTAAACGGGCACCGTGGCCTATAGCTTAGCTTGCATTTGTCAATCATCATGGACTTAAACGTGAGTTTTTGCCACATTGTATCGCCTATCTTTGGATTGTAGATTGGTATATTGGATACCGGTACGTTTGATGTCGCATCTATGATTTGGGTTTCCAAATCGCCCTCTTCATTTTCGTGGAGATTATCTGTAAGATCGGCTTGTTGTATTTCGTCAGACATTATGATAGCACTGCGATGTGTTAGAATTGTCAGGCACACAATTCTCATATGGGCATCAATGGCTAATAGATGTTCTTATATATCCAATTTCATAGAGTTGGGAGAATAATTAATGTAAGACGACATCTCTAAAACGACGTCGCATTGATGCCATAACTCACTCTCGATGACGTCACTTACTCTCTCGGATGACGCAAGTCACTCTCTGAAAAACTTTACTGCTGGAAGAGAGTTAGGGAGTGAGTTATATAGGTGCCCCGGAGCGTCCCACTAATATTACCTGGGACGCTTCCCCCCGCGCCACGTGTCGTCCCCCGATTGGTGCTCCCTTCCGCATTTTGAGGTGTGTTGTCGGCTAGTGTCTCCGCTCCGCGCCCAAATCTGCTGCCAGGATTAAAAATCTAAAAAGGCAAGCGCAAGCGGGAAATTTAAATTTAAAGGGAAGCGCAAGCTGAAGGTGTAAACAGCTAACCTACGTATGGCCCACGCCTTGTTAGAATGCATCGTTTACGACCTGTTGTTATTCTGTGCCATACGTTATACAGTATCCGTGTTTAGAAAATATTAACTGTTTATGTTGACCCATGTCACGGTCAACACATCACGTCTATAAAATAACATCGACGTGATGCTTTAATGGTGAGGTTCCTGACCATCGATTATGGCGACGACTTTCCGGTTTTCACAGCGGTGTCCATATACCACCAAAACTAAATTAAATTTTAGTCGCTGTTGGACAACATCTAGCAGATCTGGTGTTTCTGGACGAAGTTATTTTAAACTACGGAAACATGGTTTGTACAAAAAAAAACGATTCACGTCTAAATCGTTGTGTGATTCCATCTGGAGGATTGACAACTTCCTCCCGTATGATGAGCCTCATTTTTTTCCATTTTGATTTGCCGGAGGTTGGTACTGAAAGGGATGAACGACAATCCCGAAAATTGAAGCTGTTAGGACTCTATATTCAGGGTGTAGTCTTACGTCAAACTGGTGGTCTTTCCGAGCTAGCTGCTGATACGCCTGGACTGGAAAGTGACATGCGTGATGCCCCTACTCAGGCTGTGGAACAAACGGCGGACATTAATCCATCTGGTCTGCTTGACAATGGCCAATGTGAATTTGTCGTTGTGTTGGACCGGTTTCCTAATCCTGCGTATACGCCCAAGTTTAAAGATGTTTTTCTGTGGTCCAGTGGTGACCCACGAACTGGTTGTATGGTTAGGGGCGCTGAAATAGACCGTTTTGTTGTATTGCGGCGTGTCCCCGTCGTAATGCCGCCGCAATCAAATGAATATCCAATTGTTAGCCGTCAAGGCGTTAAAACATTTATCAAGATCAGAAATAATGTTGCATCCGAATTCCGAGATAGTTTAGGTCAATTTAGCGGCTCGTATAATAATATTGTAAAAAACGCAATTATTTGTTATTTTGTGTGGGAATGTCGCATAAAATCGATTGTAAGGGCACATCTGAATTATAGACTCAGTAATCAACTCAAAAATTGTGGAACAAACGGCAGACATTGTAAAGAAATTGTTTGAGGGCCACAATGGCTCAAAACTGTCAAAAACGGCGTCGTTTTGGGTGCAAAAACATGCCAAAACGACGTCGTTTTGACATGGTTTGAGTCATTGTGGCCCTCTAGCATTGTTGTTTAATATAAATAATAAAGTTGTCCGTCTCTCTAAGAGCCTGAGCTTTTTGATAAGTAGTACTCAACACTTCAATATAGTATCAGAGTATGCAATAAATCCTATCTTCAAATCTCACCACCTACCCGATAATTAAAAAAAATTTGCACGTGTTTGACCCTCTATGAAGAAAAGCTCGGTCACACGTAAGAGAGCATGCTGAGAATATAATATAAATAATGTTAGCACATATATGACCAATTATGAAGAAAACATCGGTTACACGTGAGGAGACATGTTAAAAATATAATATAAATAATAAAGTTTACTACAGGTATAATTTGTCGCTCTATTTCTTTTGTTTTCTTCATTTGATCATGGAAATGGGTTTAGTGCAAGATTGCAAATTATCAAAAAAATATAAATAGAATACAAAGCGTGTGTCTTTTAGGCTATACAGACTTTTGTTACTTATCATTATGAAAAATGCTATAAATTTTAAAAAATTTATCAAAAAATTAATCAAACACATGAATGCTTGGTCAACTTTATAGTAGAATTTTTTGGTCAACTTTTTAGTAGAATTTTTTTTTGTAACTCTAGCGTTGCTCTATCATTCCAGCCCTGTAGCAGAAATGTTATTCTCATCCTTGATGCTGCTATGTAACTGTTTGGCAGAGGCTGTGAGAGTTTTGAGTTAATATCTAGCTGATTAATTGAAGTTGTTTTAGCTTTGTTCTCAGTGTAAAAAAGAAAAAATAGAGTTGGTAATTGTAAATAATGTAAATTATATTTGTTTAAAATATTAATTGTTCCATATAAATCTATCTCTCATCTTAAAATTTGTAATCACATAAGAAATAATCCATTTTAGTATTGTCTCTAGTAATTCTAAAAATGATATGACGCCTCTTAAAAATTCTAATTGCATAATAAATAATTTATTTTATTAATTAATCATTAAATTAATTAATAATTTTTTATTATTATTAGGCCAAGTTTGGAAAGACTAAATAAGTGTACTTTTTGACTTTTTATGAAATATGGGTTGGGTTTGGGTTTGAAGTGATGTGTTAGAGAGGTAATGTAACTTAAATAAGATGATGTGATTTAAATAAGATAGTGACTTTTTGACTTTTTGAATTTTTTAAGAGTTGCCAAACCATCAATGATACGTACGCCAGTAGGAGATAAAGCCTATTAGCTGGCCTCCAAGATTGGTATAGAGGTTTGAACGCAGTTACCAGACCTAAGTGTTTGAAGGTGGAAGAAGGTGAACGACGTTGATAAAGAGCCGATGATCCAACGCTTGGCAATAATTAGATGGTTATGATTGTATATAAATATCAGTGTAGTATGTTACTGTAAAGTTTACATTCAAGAGTAATACATACTTCTCAAACTGGAACTAAAGCTTACACTGCTTCTACCTTTGAAGTTGTTCCATCTCTGTCTTCTAATCTTAGAGCATGTTCCATCTCTGTCTTCTAATCATCTTTCAGTTCAGCAATTAGCTAAAGATAATAATTGTTCTATTATTTTTAATAAATCTGATTTTTCTATTCAGGACAACCATACCAAAACTACGCTCCATAAAGGATTCCAACTAACTGTAGTTAGATTGTGTTGAGTTTAGAATTAGTTAGAACTGGAGTTAGATTAGGCGGTTATGCTGGTGTATATAATCTGAGTTGCGTATCATTGTAATATACATTGAAGAAATTAATTTCTTTTCTCATTCGTTCACTGTAATTCATCATGGTATCAGAGCATGACCTGCTCTAGCGAGCTTCACGAATGTCTTCAATGGCATCACCAACTCTTCCAGCAAATCTTGGTCTCTTGATTTCTAATCTCTCTTCTATCGTCAATGTAAAGCTTGATTCAACGAATTTCATAATCTGGAAAACACAGCTACAGAATATACTCAGAGCAACTGATCTTCTTGATATTCCTTCTCCTTTTGTTCGTGATTCAACTGGAAAAGAAATACCTAATCCTGAGTTTTCTAAATGGAAGATGATTGATTATCATCTTCTCAGCTGTGTCACTGCTACTCTTTCACAGTCTATTTCCACTTCTGTTCTTCATCTCAAAACAAGCTCTGAGGTATGGCTAACTCTAAATAAGCGATTTACCTCTCTTTCTAGATCTCATATTCACCAATTGAAGAATAAACTAAATTCAATTTCTAAGAAAACTGAGTCTATGGAACTCTACTTGAGTCATATCAAAGAACTGGTTGATCAATTGAATCTTGCCTCAGC